GACTCTCATACTGCTGGTGAGACTGTAAAATGATACAACCACTGTGGAAAGCAGTATGGCATTTCTTACAAAGTTGGAATTAGAAATACCATTTGATCCAGCCATTTCATTACTAGGTATATATCCTAAATAAGTGAGAGCCAGGACAAAAACAGATATTTGCACCTCTGTTGATCACAGCACTATTTACAATACCCAAAAGATGGAAACAACCTAGGTACCCATGAACAGAACAATGGATAACCAAGCTACGGTACATACACACAGTGGACTACTATACAACTTTGAAGAATAATGTAGAATCTGCAAAACACTGCATAATGTGGATGAACGTGGAGGACATTATGCTGAGTGAAATAAGTCAGTCACAAAGGATCAAATATCATATTAGTCCATTAGAATAAAAAGTCAAGGAAAGGTATATATATGGAAGGATATTTTCTTTGTTGGTTACCAGAGGTAGGAGGGGAGGTAGACAGGTAGAGCAAGTATTGATTTGGGTGAAGAGAAGGGCAATGTACCAAATGTGAGTGATCAACATGGTGGCACTGAGGAAGAGAAAGATGTAGGTGCATGAGAGGTACAGACAGCAAAGATGAACCCTTTTGCATGTATAGTACTGCATTGTTGGTGAAGTGAAACACTGATATATGGGTGGACAGGCTGAACTATTAGGCATGTCCATGCAGGGGGCAGTGTGCCAAAGACCACGTATAGGGTTGGCAGACAATGCTTCTACAAGTGTATGTTCTGTAAGATTTCCCAGGTATACAGCAGAGCTGTCAATGGACAAGGTTATAGTCATTTCTTGGCCACAGCCAGCTACCCAGAGGGAATGAGTAGTGGGACCCATGGACTCATGACCATAGTTGCAGGGGACATCAAGTTCAATTGGCATAACTTACTACACAAAAACATTGTTCCATATCCTACTTTGGCGAGTAGTGACTGTCATCTTAAAAACTTGCAAGTGGCCATCTAGATGCAACGATGGGCCTTTCCTCATCCAGAAGAAAGAATGAAGAAAACCAAAAACGCATGAAAACAATTAGTCCAAGGGACTGGTATACCATGTGATCCTCAGCCTATATGACTATGAGATCAGAAGAACTAGATGGTGCCTGGCTACCACTGTCATCCACTCCGAGGGGGATCCATGTAGGAGATCCTGGATAGAGAGGGAGAACAATGTGGAACAAAACTCAAAATCATTTAAAAAAAAAAAAAAAAAAGGACCAGGTTTGGTGGTCTGATGGAGCCTGATGGGACCACTGAGACTGTGGCCCCTAACTGCCCTTCAGGTCTGGAATTGAACCCACTCTTATGGCTTCCAGCCAAACAAAAGACATGCATATGAACTGAACATTTACATTAGGTAGGTACACTCCTTGGAGAGATCGATCATGGGAGAATAGAAGGGCTGAGTATGCACAGGGAGGCATCTTAGGGGGCAGGAGTGCATGAGAGGGAAGGACACAGGGAAGAGGTATCTGTGGGGAGGAAGCGGTAGGTGAGCAGTTGCATTGTGGGAAATGGCAGTCAATGTCCTGAGACAAAGTGTATGTGAACTGCTGTATGGAAAGTGAATTTGCTCTGTAAACTTTCACCCAAATCACATTAAAAAAAAAAAAAAAAAAAAGTACATCACAAATTTAGGACTAGATCTTTAAGAATAACTTGAAACAAACTTAATTCCAATAATTTATTTCATATCAATATCTAAAAAAAATCCAACATCCTCCTGGTTACATTTGGATATTAGGAAAACCAAAAAAAAAAAAAAAACCACTGCCATCAAGTTGATTCTGACTCATAGTGATTGGGTTTCTAAGGCAATTATTCTTTCCAGAAGTAGATTGCCCAGTCTTCTTTCCGCAGAGTGGCTGGTGGGTTTGAACCACTAACCTTCTGATTAGCAGTCAGATGCCTTAGGCACTGTGCTAGCAGAGCTCCTTGGATATTAGGAAACCAACTTATTTTGTATACCAGTGAAAGAACCAAGCATTCATACTGCCCTTCTACAGAAATGGAACCTCAGGATAACCAAATTATTGATGATGGAAGTACTACATACAGAAATATTTCACCTAATGAGAGTTATAACCTTTTTGCAACTCCTAATGAAGTAACATAGCTAGGCAATAATCATCAATGACAATATAAGATAAACAGAGATTCTGAGGTACACACATCTCATTTTATTGAGCTTTTGCTTTATTGTGTTTCACAGATACAGTGTTTTTTTTACAAGTTGAAAGTTTGTGGCAACCCTGCCTCAAGCAAATCTTTTGGTGACATTTTTCCAATAGCATGTGCTTATTGTATGTCTCTGCATCACATTTTAGTAATTTTCACAATATTTCACACTATTTCATAATGCTATTGCACACTTAATAGATTACAGTATAGTGTAAACATAACTTTTATATGCCCTGGGAGACCAAAAAATACGTGTAATTCGCTTTATGGCATATTTATTACGATGGCCTAGAACTGAACCCACAATGATCTCTGAGGTATGCCTGTACCTGACATTACTGTAAAGTTTTGCCAGAAAATCAAACCTTAATTTGTTAAGCCCTCTAGATCAGTTTATAGTAAATACAAGACAGCAAAACAAGTTAAATTGCAGCAACCAGCAAGATGCAGAATGTGGGAGATTCTGCAGCAAAAAAATGATCTGGTTTCTCAAATAAATTGTAACAGCAACAAATGGAGGTGGTGTTGTTATGTGCCATCAAGTCATCTCCAACTCATAGCAACTCCTGCTTGGGTTTCCAAGTAGGAGTAAGGAAATTACAAAGTGTCACCCAATTACACTGTATGGGCCTTACCTGAATTTTGATTCAAACCAATTGGAAATAATGACAAAAATGGTAATAGAGGAAATTTGGAATTATTAGTATTTCGGCATAATTTCTGAAATTTATCTTTTAAAAGAAATATTTACAAATGAAATTGCTTTAAAATAATCTGGCAGTTGAAGAACAGGTGAGAGTACAGATGTGACACAATTGTTGAGCCTGGTTTCTTTAATACAGTTCTTGCTTTTGGCTATGTTGTTGTTGGTGTTATATGCCATCAAGTTGGACCCGACTCATAGCGACCCCTCCTTGGGTTGCCAAGGTGGTATCACTACGGAAGTAGATTGCCCAACCTTCCTTCTAAGGAGTGACTGGTGGGTTTGAACTACCTGCCTTCTGGTTAGCAGCCAAGTGCCTTAGGCACTATGCTACCAGAGTTCCTGCTTTTGGCTATAATTGCCCATCAATAAAAAGTATATAAATTACATTAATAAAACTTCAGTTGATTGCTATGGAAATCACTGTAAAATCCCAAGTCCATGCCTTGGCTGATGAAACCACTCTTCTGTGTCTCGGAATTGCTTACATCTACAAAGTTCTTGCCTGTTCTAGGGTTTTGACTCACACAGACCTATTTTCCCTTCCTCTTAGCCCTTTTCCCCCTTAGGGTCTCTTTCTGGCTTCAATGGCATCTTAGGGAGGGCTTGGCCACCATATGATTAGGCCATCCTTGTTAATGCTGTCAGTGTACTTTATTTAGCATGATTTGTAATTTGTTCTGTCTCTCCTACTAGAATGTAAAATACAAGCCCATCTTGTACAATCCAGCACTTCTAATACGTATCACATGTGATAAGATACTCAATAAGAACTTGATCAGTGTTGTCTACCTCAGATGTATATATCAACTCAAATTGTGTGTGACAAGGAACTAAATGTTATGAAACTAAATGGTTACATGAATATTTTGGTAGGTGTTATTTCTGGAATAAAACCAGCTGCCATTGAGTTGACCCTGAGTCATGGTGTTTTTCCTTGAAAGCAGACAGCATTATGGCAATTGGGTTTTGAGGGTAACACAGGGCTAGAATGAAGTTTGAAGTTACAGACAGACAGACGTCCCAAAACTCATTTGTATGCTTTACAAATTACACTGCAATGAAATTTGTTTAGATTTTTCTTTGCATCAGATTCTCGTTGCAAGAGTTTGGCTCATATTCACCCACTGCAGATATCCTTGAAGAGTGGGAATACCTTGAGAGGTCTTTGAATCATAGCACCTGACACATGGAGGCACTTAATAAAAGCTTGTTTGTTAAATTCGTCATGTACTTGAAGATTATAGTAACTCATTCTCTGCAAGTCCAAATAATCGTGGTTTGTCTTTAGAAATAATTTATCATCTAATACTTTATAATTTTAGCTAAATGTTCACTTTGAGCTCTTGTAAGCATCCTTTGAGCTGACTCCAATGATTGGCTCCAGGTATCCATGCCCCTCATGTGTTCATTCACACTCATACTGAATAGAGCTGATCCACGTAGCCAATATGGTATTACTTTAGCAATGAAGGAGTGTGATCTCCAAGGCGAGGTCATAAGGCCTATTGGGGCTTCTGCCCAATTAAATCTCTAAAGTTTTCTGTCAGTGTTTATAACCTATATGGTCCACTCTCCTGTTTCCTTTAACAGAATAAATTTGTTTCCGATTACTCACATTGGTTTTAAAAGGTAATCCCAGATGCTACCCCTTCCTAGCTTGCCAACCCTTGAGACCTAGAATCATCTGTAAATTTAGTAAGTATGTTTTACATTTCTATTCTATCATTTTAAGTCATGGATAAAAGCATTAGAAGACATTGAATCTAATACTGATTACAGCAGTCCTGAAAGACTTGTATATATTCAGAGATCAACAATGAGCCTATGATGATTTTAAGGTTACATCATGATAAATATCTGAATACCCACTTAATATGGAGATGCAATGAGGATGACAGACTAGATAAATTTGATCTCACTTCCCTCCATATATCAGATCCATCACCATCACTGGAGAACATGAGATTTAAATATCTCAATGTTTTAAAAAAAGCATATCCCAGGATTAAGCTTTATACTGAATTTGTAAACAATGTCAAAATTAACAGGTTGTGAAAAATCCCCTAATTACATTTTCTTTAAGGGGAGTAGGGGCTTCCTTAATTTAATTAGACAACCAAGATACGGCAATAAGTCTTTATTTTTCATGTAGGGTTCCACTGGGGGTTAACGACTCAGAGAACACACTGCTAGAATACAGAACCGAACAAAAGCATTTCAGCATGCTGCCTTGCTGTACATGGAAAACTGGTGAACTTCTTCAGACACTAAGACTAGGAAATAAAATAGGTTAACTCCATTTGTTGATATGCTTATGAATCACTCAGCAGTGTTATTTATTATAGGCTGCCTTTACCTGAAAGCAGAATTATAATCACTCTGGCAGCCTCTGGGCAATTCTAAAATGCAGGTCTAGTAAAAGGTCCAACGAGCAAGAAAGGGACAGATGCCATGTCCCCATCCTCAAGGGAGACAGATTTGAAGCCTGGCTCTGCACATTTTAAGGACTAATATGGCCATCTTAACAGCTTAATGTTGCATTTCTCTTACCACATATATTGGCAATAAGCATTAATTGAGAACTTCTGAAACATTAACTGAATACACTGAGGTTTTAAAAGCAGAACACTGTCCACATAACAGAATTGCTTTCACAACTTTTGCCCAGTTCTCACCTGCTATCCTGCAAAAACCCCTCATGTGATGAATTTTAGTGAAAGCCTCTAGCAATTGTAACAGACCTTTCTCAACCCAGTTCTAGATACTAAGTATCAGAAACAAGTGCCTGTGAAGTAGAAGTGCTCACAGGGAAAATGGCAGTGTTTCTACTGGAGGTAAGTGTCAAGTTTCTTCTTGATGTTGTCAAAGGAATCTGCTCCCATGTAATCAGCCTGGCCCTGTTCCCACCGCTCCTTCCGTTCTTCTGAGGATACAAAAGGCTGTGGTGCAGCTGGGACCTCCCCAAAGGAAAGATGTGATATGGCCATCGAGGCCTCTTCCTAGAAGGAGAGCATAATCAGTCGTTGAGAGCTGGAAATCAGACCGTTTTAAAGAATGCAATAAACTGAAGAAAGTGAGAAAAGCCAGGATGAATTATCATGCAAAGTAGCAAAAACAGAAAAGTATTACATGAAACAAACAAACAAAAGACAGAAATACAAAGATCATATGATTTTTTCCTAACAAAATGAAGACTTCTTGACTCAGTGAACACATTGGGAGAACAAATTAGGGTTAATGTTTAAGTTCTGCATACCTTTCTACAGAAGCCACAAGAGAAAGCCAGTGTATAGACCAAGTCTGAAAGCTGCAAACAGTTCATTAGAAAGTGTAAGATGGATGGAGAAGGGAACACAAGTCTCATGATAAATTCTCGATCTGTGTGGGCTCAGAAAGGTCGAGAACTTAAACAAAATGGTACTTCAGAGGCTAAGCTTCAGAAAGCACCTAACCAGAGAGCCACACCACGTATACAAGTTGTCACATAAGAATGAAAGCTAAATGGTTTCAGACTATGTACCAAACTCATCTTCCTGTTCAAGCTTTCCTTTGGATTACCGAGCAGCATCTATTCTTGTAGCTTCTGTTAATTTAATCTGCTTAGTTTTTAACAACTGTTTTAATTGCCATCACCACCTTTCCTTAGTTCATATTTTTCAGTCCTTAGATTGCAGAAGAAACAGTGTAAGCATGCAGAAAACAAAACAAACCTACTCAACATTTAATTTGATTCTACATTTAATATAATTTTATGTATAGATTAGTAATAACATGTAATGCACCATAAAAGAATACCAGTGTTAAAAAGCTCTGAGCTGAGAAGGTACTGGAAATCTTAGCAGAGAAAGAGGAAGGCAAATGAATACACACAGGCATTACTTTTAACAGAGAAAATGAATTACCTCAGAAGCAATTTCTGATGACCTGTTTTTTGGTGCCATATGTATTTAAGTATGCATGTATGTATGTATTTAAATATACTAGAATTCCAAGGTATGTGGGTACATTCCATAGGATTGTATTATAGCTGAGGCCACCTAAGAAGTCCCTCCATTGGATAAGCCCTGCCTTAACCTTCTGTTTGCACAGGAATGAGGTAAGGGGGCCTTCCAGAGTCCTTTGCTAATGTGACAGCTATGAACCCAGAGTTATTCCCCTATGAGAGCAGCTCTAGAAGTCAAGCCAAGTATGGTGGATCTAACTTAAGGAATTCCCCTTTTAATGTGTATAACATCATCTGCCACTCCAAAAAGTGCTATATTTACTTCTGCGCTATAGAGGAATACCTTAAGTGAGGTATTTTTCCACAACAATCCGTTACAAGACTAAGAGAATTTATGTAAGTTCTTTAAACCTCAGTTAATTTTTCTACAAAAATGAGATATTAATAATAGTATTATTTGCCAAGGTTAAATAAGAGTAGCTTTTATTAACGGTTACTACATGACAAGCAAGGTGCCCTGGTGGCTCAGTTAGCTGAAAGGTTAGAAGTTGAACCCACCAGGCACTCTGTGGGAGAAAGATGTGGCAGTCTGCTTCTGTAAAGATTCCAAAAAAACCCAAACCCATTTTCATGGAGTTGATTCTGACTCATAGCAACCCTACAGAAGACAGTAGAACTGCCCCATAGGGTTTCAAAGGCTGTAAATCTTTATGGAAGCAGACTGTCGCATCTTTTTCCCACAGAGGGGCTGGTAGGTTAGAACTGCTGACTTTTCGGAAGCAGCTGAATGCTTAACTACTGCACCACCAGGGCTCCTTCTGTAAAGATAACAGCCTTGGAAATCGTATGAGACAGTTCTAATCTGTTCTACAGGGTTGCTATGAGTTGGAATTGACTCCATAGCAACAAGTTTATTTTTTATATGCCATGCACTGTTCCAATTGCTATACAAGTATTCTTTCATAATCCTATAAAACAATGTATTTGGGTACAAATGCTAATAAGTGGCTAAAATTTGTATCACAGAGAAGATCTTTGAAACTTTAAAATCTCTTATAACCAGATAATTAAGTGATCAGTTAGACTTGATTACAATTCATTCACTTCTGTTCTTTATATCTTCATATGTAATGTAACAGTTTAATTCCTCATTTTCTTCCAACTCTTCCAAAGTAAGAAAACTTGAAGGAGGACCCTTAAAATCAGAAAAGATGCTAAAGCAGATTATTATTGTAAACATCAACATCTCCCTCTGACAAGAGAGACTCTTTTTTTAGGATCCTAATACCCCAAGCATTTGACTGCTAACCAGAAGGCTGGAGATTCAAACCCACCAGGCCACTCCTCGGAAGGAAGGTTGGGCAATCTACTCCCGTAGAGATACTGCCTTGGAAACCCAAGGAGGGGTCGCTGTGACACGAATCAACTTGAGGGCCTTGAGTTTTTTTTGTATAATAACTACAGGCAGAGCCTTGCTGGCACAGTGGTGAAAGCACTCAGCTGCCAACTGAATGGTTGATAGTTCTAATCTACTAGCTACGCCACAGGAGAAAGATGTGGCAGTCTGCTTCTGTAAAGATTATAGCTTTGGAAATGCTGCGGGGGCAGTTCTACTCAGTTCTATAGGGTTGCAAGTGACTTGATGGCAATGAGTTTGATATTTTATAATAAGTGACTCAATGGCAATGAGTTTGATATTTTATAATAACCACAGCGGTATAAACATAGGAGAGCAAATAATCCTACAAAGTATTTATTTTATGTTTCTGTTATTGTGACTTTTACTGGAAACACATTCCTTTAAGCAGATGGCAAATACGAACAGGGATATTTATGTTTTTAATGAGGCATCTGTTTTCATAGACTATATTCTGTAGTATTGTTGTTGGCCGTATATGCCGTCGAGTCGGCCCCGACTCATAGCGACCCCTCCTTGGGTTTCCGAGGCAGTATCACTACGGAAGTAGGATTGCCCAACCTTCCTTCTGAGGAGTGGCTGGTGGGTTTGAACCGCCAGCCTTCTGGTTAGCAGTCAAGTGCCTTAGCCACTATGCTACCAGAGCTCCCATTCTGTAGTATATAGAGTATATATTTTATAGACTGTATGTATATATATTCTATAATATATACACTTGAGGAATAATCTCAGAATCTTTTCATAGGACAACAAACTAAAAATTTATAGTTTTAAGATATGTATGTATACAAAAATCTCTACAAACTGCCCCTATACCCTCAGAGGCAATGAAATATGCCACAAAACCTATTCTACTTCAGTCTTTGCTGATAATATTTCTCCTTTCTAAGTTGTCCGTTGTTTTCCTTCAACAAAAATTATCTCTTATTTAAAATAGCACTAAATATTCCCCATTTCTATTGATATATCAAGTTACAGGGAAAAAAAAAAAAAACAGCATAACATTATCCAAAAGATGAAAACAGAACCTACCACATTTTGGCATGAGAAGGACTCTTTGACAAGGCCATGTTGTTGAAGCAGAGGTAAAACGTTAGTGGTGAAGGTGTCCCACCACATGTTGAGAAACTCTGGATGAATCGTGGTAGGGTCATGGGCCTCACTTCTCACACTTTTTGTTTTGGAATCATAAGTATAATTCCACGGTTTGATTTGTCCCAGGAAATGCACAACTTTGGCATTTGCACCGAACCTGCCAAGTAAACACAAGTTGGTCAGTGAACTCCGAGCACTGTCAAAAGGACAAGCTGCATTTTGTTGGGTGGTCTTAATAGCACAATTTCCATCCTAGAGTAATGGTTAAAAAGAAACTGGCCTCACTTCTTGAAAACTGGTGGGGTTGGGTAGGGAGGACAATGTGTAGCCAGAGTACTGAGGGGAAGACCAGAAATGGTTCCTTAGTTTTAGGCGTGTGAAGGCAGAGAGAAGCAAGAGAGAGGAGGGAAGACGGATGCTGGAGCACACAGAAATCATGTGGAAGCTTCCAGTGTCATGGGTGTGGAAATGCAGGTGGGTCAGCCTGTTTCTGTATAACAAAGAATCGGAACTTTTTCCAGATGCTTTAGGTATTGAGATGATTTTATCTAACTACTTAGGAGCTCTGGTAGCATAGTGGCTAAGGCACTTGACTGCTCACCAGAAGGCTGGCGGTTCAAACCCACCAGCCACTCCTCGGAAGGAAGGTTGGGCAATCCTACTTCCATAGTGATACTGCCTCGGAAACCCAAGGAGGGGTCGCTATGAGTCGGGGCCGACTCGACGGCAAACAACAACAACAACAACAACCCCACACATATCTATGGAAATGACAGACACAGGAGGTGGTAGGAAGAAAACAAGTTTCAGAGCAAGGCCTATTTATAAGAAGACTGGGTCTAGGTGAGTTACTGAACATGGAAGGAAGGGTTTTATCAAGAGATGGGCCACTTGAGATTCAGGCGAAGAGAAGTGGTGCGAGACGAAGAGCAGCTAAGTGGGAAAAATGAGGCTCAGATAGGAAGGTGGGAGAGAGCAAAGACAGAGTTTGCAGTTTTGCATAAAGTAGTCATCTACATTATGTTCTTGGAAATCATCTAAGGCAGCTGCTGGCCTGTTATCAGTGCTTGATGTAAGGGGTATTGTCTGGGCCCAACACCAGCCACTTTATATGAAGGTTTGGGAATCCCTTTAACTAACTATGGACTAACTGAACAAACAAAACAGTGTTTATTTACAAAGTAAAGGAGTCTGAAGGGCCTGCTTTCATAGTAACACATCAAATGCAAAAAATAGCAGAGGTCTCAAACACTAGGCCATTTTGTACAGTGAGAGTTTCAGTTAATCTAGCTATGAGTTTCAATTATTTATTTTTATGTCTCCATCATGTTCCCTGGAGAATGTTTCTGAACATCATTTCTATCATTTTTTTTCATCCAGTCATTTATGAAAATATAAAAGAGTCATATCAAAATTAAATAAGAGCAAAAGTCCTAAGTAGAAGGAGAAATTTTTTTGTTTAATATTTTTTTCAGCCTTACTGCAAATTTGGGGGTATATGCTGCAGAAGGAAAACATGGGGTATTTTTCCAGTGTTATAAATAAGGCAACAACATTTCAATCAGGTACCAGTTAAAACTGATGTCACTAGGCTGACAATAAAATAGGCAAATAATAAGGAGGAAAAATGTTAATGTCAGAAGATAAAGTTCATCTGACCTCAACCCACAGTAAGGATAACAGAAGAATCACTGACTCATTCCCTGATTTATCCACCAAATTAACAGCCAGGAGTTTAAAAAAAAAGGGTTGGACACATATTCCAATTGTCTCTAAATTTCTGAGAGCCATTCATTCTGACCCAGTAATGAGGATTTGTCTCAGCTTGCATATATCTCTTAAAATAAGTGTTCTAATTTTAACTTGATAGAATCTCAAAAAGAGACATCCAGATCACAAGACAGAGTTTGAACTAGAGCCAGCAACAATACTGCTTATGTTAGCTATTAAAGTAATCCCTGTGATCTGATGTCATCAAAAGATCAGATAGAATTTTCATGACTAGTATAGTAGCTGAGAAACATAGCCAGTAATGTGTGGATTAGACCATAGAACTGTTTAGAATGGAAAAGGAACTAGTCCACTGCAGTCCCACACAGGAGCAATTTCAGCTTCCACTAAGTTCTTGAAGCATGATATTCAATCAGAAACCAAGAAAGAGAGATAGACAGCACTGCTTGTGTGACCACTCTCTGGGAAATGAAAAACTGATTTGTAGCAGCCATGCCAAGCATCCTTTGCCCACTTTCATGGCTCATGTTCTCTGTGACATCACCACTCACTTACGCAGCTTCTTAGACTCACTCTAGTGTATTGGTGCAGTCACACATGGATCCTCCCTGCCACAATCAATGAGTCACCTTTCCTCTCTCACCAGAAAATCCCCTCTTATCCACTGTTAATCTAAATCAAGGGTTACAGATACAGGTGCTTGCAGTGACGGGGCTGATCATGCAGAGGAGAGGACTTGGTGAGGTAGGGACTGTGGAGCCCACTCCAGTATGCATGTCCTGTCACCAGAATATAGCTGCCACCAGCAGCAAACAACTACGGTCACTGGGGACTGTGGATCTGAGCTACCCTACCCCCAAGTATGATTTTTCTCTCCTTTTCAAGCTAAATATCCATTCCAGTAGTCCCTAAGGAATCACAACAATTTCAGTTCTCAAACCCAGACTTTAATAACATAGACTAGGACCTAGGTCTACTACATTGCCAACTAGGTTGGCCTCTCTTCGCAAAGTAGGCCAGGGAAAGCCCCATAATGCCAGGTCACAAGGGAGACATCATTCTTAGTCTCCACTGGCAACTGCTCATTTGTTTACTCAACCCAAAATTACACCCACCTACTTGCATCTGTGCCCATGCATGCAGTCTACCTTCCTTCTTGTTACTAAGAAATAATCTTATCTGAAGCCAGCCTCTTCAGACTACCTGTGCACTATTGGTCCCATTCCTTTTCACCTAGTCAAAGACTCCACTCTAGCAACTCTCTCTTACTTTTCTGCATTGTTAGTTCTCTTCCTCTTCTCTCCTAGCAGTATACAAACATATTGTAAGTTTTCCAATGTAAAAAAAAAAAAAAAAAAACCCAACCACCTTCTCTTGTTCCCACATCTCCATTCAGCTGCCATCCTATTTCTCTGCATCCTTGTAAAGCAAGATGGCTTAAAAGAGCTGTCCATATTCACTGTCTCCAATTCCCCTCCATTGTCTTAGACCCACTTCAGTCTCACTCTCTCCTCCACTCCCCTAGATGTACTCTTGCCAAAGCTACCGGTGAGCTCCACATTCTAAATCCAGTGCCAGCTGTCAGTTGTTGTCTTATTTATCACAGTATCTGAGAGACATGATCACTCCTTTCTCCTTGAAATATTTTCTCTTCTTGGCTTCTACACCACCATACTTTCCTGATTTACCTCTTGCTTTACTATTTGTTCTCAATCTCTTGTCCCTGTTCTTCCTCACTTTCCTGCCTCAGGGGTCAGTTTTCAGGACTCTTTCCTTCTATAATCATTCTCTTAGTTACATTCTCATCTTATAGCTATAAATATAATTTATATGTTTATGGCTCCTAGTGAGTTCTCATTCAGACTTCTCTCCTGAACTCCTGACTCATATCTATTTACCTAGCCCATGCTTTTATTAAGGATGTTTAATATGCATCTCAAACTTAACACATCCAAAAACTTAATATAGTCAATATATTTCTCATCAATCCTGGCTTCACCCATAGTCTTTCCTACCTCAGTAAAAGGCAACTCCATCATTCTAGCTGCTCAGGTACAAGACAGTCATCTTTGACATCTCTCTCGCATCTCAACAAATACCTGATTTTTTCATCAGAAGTTGGAAATTTGGATTTTATGTGAAATTCTCTAAATTTTCAAATGTTGACAACTGAGGCTTTTTTTTTTTTTTGTTTTCTTTGGAGTAAATTTTGCCCATTTGGTCTTACACAGATTTTTTTTTTTTTTTTTTTTAAGGAAACTCTTTATGTTGCTGTTGTTGTTATGTGCCGTCAAGTGAGACCCGACTCATAGCGACCCCTCCCCTTGGGTTTCCGAGGCAGTAACACTACGGAAGTAGATTGCCCAACCTTCCTTCCGAGGAGTGGCTGGTGGGTTTGAAACTCTGTACAGGGAAAATAAAACGTATCTGTGGGACATATACTATCTGCAGCCCAACAGTATGTGAACACATGGAAGACATGTTTTCTACTCCATCACCACACTCTTTCCCTTCCTCTTTGGTGGTGGTGTTGTTAGATGCTATTGAGTTGATTCAGACTTACAGCAACCCCGTTATAACAGAATGAAACACTGCACAGCGTTAATTGTGGATCCAAGTAAAATGAAATCCTTGATAACTGCAATCTTTTCTCCATTTATCATGATGTTCCTTATTGGTCCAACTGTGAAGATTTTTGTTTTCTTTAGGCTGAAGTGTGATCCATACTGAAGGCTGGGATCTTTGATCATCATCAGTAAGTGCTTCAAGTCTTCTTCACTTTCAGCAAGCAAGGTAATGTCATCTGCATATTGCAGGTTGTTAGTAAGTCTCCCTCCAATCCTGATGCCACATTCCTCTTTATATATGGTCCCGTTCATTTGCTCAGCATACAATTGAATAAATACGATGAAAGGCTACAACCCTAATAGACATATTTCCTAATTTTAAACCACACAGTATCCTCTTGTCTGTCTGAATGCCTATCTCTTGGTTTATGTAGAGACCATGAACACAATTAAGTGTTCTGGAATTCCCCTTTTTCACAATGTTATTTCCTATTTTTTACAATGTTGAGCTCCCTCTTCCTGAGATGGCATCTCTCAAGTAGATTCTGCCCTTGGGATTTCATTCCTGTGCCCTTTCTGCCTATTGCTGGAGAAGCTTCTAAAGACTAGACTGGATCAAGTCTGAAAGCTTTTCCCTTGGTGATGAGGACTCAAGCAGGACAGTGGAACAGATCATGTGATAGAGACACCACACTGGGAAATGAGGTCAGAATGACCAGATGGTGATCATGCTGAGCAATGTTCACCTGGGGCCTAAAAGGCATCACACTCACCCAGAAAGGAAGAACAGGGTATGTCTGATTCTTCCTCAACAGCCAAACCAGGACTGACTGTGTCATATATTGTACAGGAAACAGTG